GAGACTTTTGAGACTCTCCACTTGGACGTCTAGGGCCCCGCCTCTCGCCTTGGCTCTGAGAGTGAGCGTTTCTTTCTGGTGATCGTTGACGACTACTCCCGCTACACCACAGTGTTTCCCCTGGCGAAGAAGTCTGAGGTGACTTCTACGCTGATCAGGTGGTTGCTTACCACTGCAGGCACTCGTGGTCGTCGTGTCAGCTGTCTTCACTCCGACCGCGGGGGTGAGTTTCGCTCCGGCATTCTCGCTGGATTCTGTCGCGAGCAGGGCATTCGTCAGTCCTGGACGCTTCCAGAGTCCCCACAGCAGAATGGGGTTGCTAAGCGCCGCATAGGCTTGGTCATGGAGATCGCCCGCACCTCCTTGACTCACGCCCGTGCCCCCCATTTTCTGTGGCCCTACGCGGTTAGGTACGCCGCTCACCAGCTGAACCTCTGGCCACGTGTCTCTCGGCCAGAGGCTTCACCGACCAGTTTTTCGACCGGGTCCCCTTGTGTTGCATCGCAGTTTCGTGTCTGAGGTTGCTTGGCTCTTGTCCGCGACACTTCCGCGGACAAGCTCTCGCCTCGCGCCGTTCCCTGTGTCTTCCTTGGTTTCCCTGAGGACTCCTCTGACTACACCTTTTACCACCCTCCCTCTCACCGGTTCTTTGACTCCCGTGATGTCTATTTCGAGGAGTCCACCCCCTACTACGTCAGGTACCCCTGTCGAGGTCTCCCGGTTCCTCCTCCCCCTCTCTTCCTCACTTCCGCTCCCCCTCCTGCTCCCCCGGTACAGCCTCCCCCCCTGGTCCAGCCCCGTCAGGTGTGTCCCACGCTACCCCTCCCCCCTCGGGGGCCCCTCAGGTGCGGTCTCCTTCCCCGCAGTCCTCCCCACAGCTTGCAGCAGACTCTGCGGGGGGCGGTGTTCATGGCGAGGCCGCTGGGGGTGCTGGCTCTCGCAGAGTTGGGGTTGCAGTTGAGAGCGTCCCTGTGCCGGATCCTAGTTCTCGGGGTGCTGGAGTTGGAGCTGAGTCCGTGGCTGCAGGAGACTCTAGTCTTCCGGGAGCTGGTGTTGGTCGCGCTAACCCTAAGGGTGAGTCTGGTGCAGGTGCGCCCTCTACGGGCCCTGGTGAGTCTGGCCGTGTTGTTGCTGGTGGTAATGGCTCTGGGGGTGACGTGTCTGGTGCTTTGGAGAGCGGTCCTGGGGCTACCACCGCCCCGGACACTACTCCTCCTCCCCACCCCTACCCGACTCGGCTCGAGGCTCGTGTTCGCCGTGCCCGTGAGGAGCAGCTAGAGTTGGAGAGAGAGGAGAGAGAGTTGCAGCAGCTGCAGCAGCAGCAGGAGCAGCAGCAGCAGCTACTGCTTCTGGAGGAGGAGCAGCAGCAGCAGCAGCAGCAGCTGCAGTCGCCCCCTCCTCCTCCTGTCTCTGGTCTTCGGACCCTCGGTCTCCCCTCTCGCTCTCCTTCCTCCTCCCCCTCTCCTCCTGTCTACGGTCCCACGTTTCCTCCTCCTGACTCTTTCCCAGCTGATTTCCCTCGTTCTCAGCCTCCGTTGTCCCCTCCTCCTTCTCAGACTTGGGCCTCTCGTCGCTCTCCTCGTGCTCGTCCCTCGTCTCCTGTTCTCGTTACTGACCTTCGTACTGCCCTCTTTCGTTCTAGTCCGCCTCGTTCGTCCTCGTCTCTCCTTCCGTCTCCTCCTGAGTCGGCCCTCACTGCTTCCCTCTTCACTCCTGTCACTAACTACTACTGCACGTACCGTCCTGTTCTCTCTCGTGTTCTCGCCTCTCTTGTTACCGACCCTCGTGCCTCTGTGTCCTCTGTCTCCGCTCCTTCTACCGTAGTCACTGAGTTTGCCTCTGGCTGTGATGCCCTAGAGGACAGGCAGTTTGAGCTAGAGTTCCTGGCCGCCGCTTCCCCTCATCTCTGTGCCATGCTGCTCGCCCTTGAGGGAGACCCCGACGCCCTTGACATACCGACTCCTCGCACTTACGCTGAGGCAGTGTCAGGGCCTTGGACCTCTCAGTGGAGAGCTGCCATGGACGCAGAGATGGCCTCCTATAGATCCACAGGCACCTACGTCGACGAGGTTCCCCCCCCTTGGGGCGAACGTAGTCGATGGCATGTGGATCTACAGGGTGAAGCGGCCACCGGGATCTCCTCCGGTCTTCAAGGCGCGCTACGTGGCTAGAGGTTTCAGCTAGCGCGAGGGAGTCGACTTCTTTCAGACCTTCGCGCCTACCCCGAAGATGACCACTCTTCGGGTGTTACTGCACGTAGCAGCACAGAGAGACTACGAGCTACACTCTCTCGACTTCTCCACTGCCTTCCTTCAGGGTAGCCTACACGAGGAGGTCTGGTTGCGTCGTCCCTCTGCCTTCACTGGCACTTTCCCTCCTGGGACCCAGTGGAGGCTGAGGCGACCGGTCTACGGTCTCCGTCAGGCTCCTCGTGAGTGGCACGACACCCTTCGTTCTACTCTGTCTGATCTCGGTTTTCAGCCGTCTTCTGTCGACCCGTCATTGTTCGTTCGTCGTGGCTCCACACCGTTCTTTGTACTGGTCTACGTCGACGACCTGGTTTTCGCCACTGCTGACAGGGTTGCTTTGGCTGACGTGAAGCACAAACTGCAGAAGAGACACACGTGCACTAACCTTGGTGAGCTGCGCCACTACCTTGGCCTGCAGATCACCAGGGACAGAGCCGCTCGCACCATTACACTCTCACAGTCACACATGGTGCAGCAGGTCCTTCAGCGGTTCGAGCTTCAGCACTCCACAGTACAGCGCACACCTCTTGCTATTGACCACAGACTCACTGGACCCTTTCCTGATGAGCCGTTTGAGCCTAGTGGTCCCTACGCAGAGCTTGTGGGCTGCCTCATGTACCTGATGACTTGTACTCGCCCGAACCTCACCTACCCTCTCAGCATCCTTGCTCGCTTTGCTGTGCTAGGGAGACACCGTCCTGTTCACTGGATCGCAGCTATGAGGGTGGTGAAGTACCTCGCGACGACATCAGGCATGGGGTTGGTACTTGGAGGGACACAGCCGGTCGTCCTTACTGGTCACTGTGACTCTTCTTACGCTGACGACGCCGAGACTCACAGGTCTACTCAGGGTTACTGTTTCAGCCTGGGCTCTGGAGCTGTTTCGTGGAGGTCCACGCGCTCCTCCTCGGTCTCGACCTCTACCGCTGAGGCTGAGATCTACGCTGGAGCCATGGCGGCACAGGAGCTGCGTTGGTTGACTTTCTTGCTCACAGACCTTGGTGAGCGGCCGAGCTCTGCACCGACCTTGTTCACTGACAACAAGGCGGCGATTCTTCTCTGTCAAGAGCCTCGACTGGAGAGCAGAGTGAAGCACATCAACGTCAGGTACTTTCTTCTGCGAGAGTTGCAGAGGCGTGGACAGGCTCGCTTGGACTTTGTGGAGTCCGAGGCCAACACTGCCGACATCTTCACCAAGGCGCTTCCGCCTTGTGACCACCACAGGTGTTGTGTGCAGTTAGGTCTCGTTGACTCTGGTTCTCGTCGTGCATAGTTGTTGCTTGTTGTCTTGTACTCATTACTTATATACCTCTGAACTCTTTGACTGGCCTTGTGGCCCTTTGCTTGCGCTCAGAATGTGTGGTGACGTTGTGATCCACCCTTAGCTTTATTTGTTCGTGACTGGTCTTGTGACCGTACTCTTTTGTCTTTGCTAGATACTCCTCACTTAGGCTATGGGGGTGTGTCAAATGTTGTAGCTTGTAGTGAGGCTTGTCTTAGGGGGTACAAATGTTAGGGTTTGCTATATGTACCCCAACCCACATCAATGAACCATCATTCAGTTTCTGACACATTATTGGTGGGGATGGCTAGACTTTGGCAGGGTAGCTGCATGGATAAATACCCTGTTGTCTGCTTTCATAATCCATTCCATTGAAAAGCTTCCAGTTCTGTTCTGTTATACAATCAAGGCTTCTGCTACGATGGCACTATGCCTTTCTAGCATGGTATCAGAGCTACTCTAGGGGGCATGCTGCCGAAATTTGGTCAGAACTCTATTACAATTCATATTGGGCAGCCACATTAGCAACTTGGCATAACAAGAGGCAACGATTGGATCAAGGCAATGGCACGGTTCGACGATGAAGTCGACACTGCATACGAGGCCTTTGAAGAGGCCATCATGGCTCAACATGATTACCTGGAGAGCATGATTGCAAGGGCACCACCGGCACTCCAAACGTCATTAAGAGCAAAGTTCAACATGCAAATTGGTGAAGGGAGTGGCAAATTGGATAACGTGGGCGTGGAAGGCGTAGGACTTGAATCCTACGCTTTTTGTGCTCCCCCAGTACGACGTCTTACCACTAACGTTCATCCCCTTGGAGTTTTCGCAATGGGCAGATCTCACCTTTATGACGACAACATCGTACCTCCTCGTGCGCCGCGTCTACAAATGGGAGTGGATCATGCATGGAGCATGGAGCGCACAAGGCACAGGATACAGTTAAGCGATGTTATGCGGGGTGATCCCGTGGATGTGGTGGAACATTACTCCTGCGGTCAAGACGGCGAGATGCAACACATGGATGGTCAAGCGAGTAGAGACAAGTTACATGCAAAGGAGAATACCGGGACCAAGAATGCTGCATCTTCAAGCGGAGGGCAGCAAAAGGAGAACACAAACGGCAATGATGGAAGGGGAGGCTGCAAGACTCTCGTGTGGTGGTTCTGCATGCAACAGGGCACCCGTTCTATAAGTGCCCCTCGGCACCACCAGGATGGTCACCACTGGGGTGGAAACGACAAAACAGAAGGAGGACCAACCATCACACTAGAAACAGCCATTCTACATCCCCTCGAAGGAGCAACAGCCCCAAATGCGACAACAATGGCATAAAGCAGCAAGGAGCAGCCGGCGGAGACAGCAACCGAACGATTATATGCATTGCAACGATTTGGTCGTCACAAACAACCTTACCAAAGAACGGAGGGCCGTTGTGGTTGCTGGACAGCGGTTGTAGCCAGCATATGACTTCGGGCAAAAGATGGTTCGAGGATTTGAAGGAGTTGGACAAACCTGTACACGTGGAGCTTGCTGATGGGAGCACTCTGAACAGCTCAATGGTGGGCACAATCATAGCAATGGCACCCGATGGGACAACAGTTAGGTACACTGAAGTGCTCTACGTACCTGGTTTGAAGAACAATCTCCTCTCCTTCTGTCAACAGCTGAAAAAGGGAGCTCGGATCAACACAAATGATGATGGCGACACCGAGATCACCATGCCAGTTGGAGAAGGGCATGTACGGATTGGACTTGGCAAGGACGTGCATGGAGTGCTCATGGTGGAATATGAGCCAACACTTGCCTTTGCCCATGGATCTGGACATACTCATGAGGATGCATCATCGAATGCGCATGGTCATGGAGGATTGAAAGGTCAATCTGCTTCTGCATCCGTCACCTACCGTATCACGCACATGGCTCGTGTCGTAAGGAGCATGACACGTAACGTTGACAAGGGCTCTCACCCACCGCGCACTTTTGATGACATGCTGCTGAACGCTGGCACTTTGCTTCGACACCAGCAGCACGCGAATGGAGTCTCACCGCACGTTACGGTGTGGACTTCAGGGGGAGAAAGAACTGAAGATGGACCATATTTTGCAAAGCAAGGTCTACCTGGACATGATGCAGCTGTTGTTGTCATTACAGCAAAAAGGAAGGGAGTTGCTGCAGCAAATGGCTTACCATCAGGGGAGGATGAAGATGATGCTGGAAGCAAGGTGAGATATGCAACTACGGGCGTACGCATGGCTGACTCGACATACAAGGTGACAAATGACATGATCAAGGATCAGCCCACACTCGCCAAAGGACATGACATCACCTGCAGCCGCATGTGCGGCTTCCAACCGATTCCACATGGAGCATTTTCTACAAACAGACAGCAAGTCAAGGGTGCTGGAGCTGCACTCACATGGACGGGCTCCTCAAGGTGTGCTGCCCAGCCAAACATCACGTAGCACCACACTCCTCTCTCATGTGTTTGCACATGTGGATGCTTACAAACACATGAGTGAGAGGGGGAGTGGGGTGTGGAGCACTATATACACTGGAGTGGGGTGTGGAGCATAAGTTCATTCTTCAACTTTCATTGTCAACTACAAGACCATCAGGCACCACAGGAGCAACCTACTGCTTTACTGAACAAGACAAGGGATACTGATGCTGCTGTCGTGCGCCAGGAGCCGCTGTTGTAATCGGTCAGCACTTGATGAAGTGCTCCAGTTGCTGCTGTCCGCAGGCAGCCGTTGTTACAAGTGTACCTGCTTGTCCCAGGGGGAGTATACTGTAACAAGTCAACACGGGTTAAATTAGACTTGGCATCATCCAAGACGAAGGGTTCAACACAGCACAAGAGCAGGAATCACGCGTGGTGGAGCTGCATGAGATGCAGCCACAGGTCTGCATGCTTACCATGGAGCAGCTGCTGCAGGCCGTGCAGGACGACAACTGTTGTTGATGCAGGCTGCTAGCTGCTGCTGCTGCACTCCGCCAAGTGCTGGTGCAGGGCGCCAACACTTATGGTGCTGACGGGGACCAGGTGCTGCCACCATGCTGCTGCAGCCGTCCGCCTCCGCTACTGCCATCGCTGCTGTGTGCTGCCAGGTGTAGCTGGTGCTGGCGCAGGCTGCCAGCTGTTGCTGCCCACCGGCTGCAGCTGCTCCCGTGCGCCAACTGGTGTGAAAAGAGGAGAGCATCACACGTGGAAGCAGGTATGAATGACTTTGCATTCAGAACATGACAAGGCATTACGAGGCGCAGGGTACCATTTCAACACGAGGCCGGGGGAGCAAGCTGAGGATAAACTCACCACATGCTGTAAAAATGTAGCTTGTTGTACATCGCAGCCAAACCAACTTCTGCCCTGTACCAAGGATCGACTAACATGCAGCTAACAAGGTCCCATCCCTGATCCCCAAATATTTCTGGGATGGAATGCTGCTTAATTCTGACCATCACACCAAGGTGTGTACAATGTAATGAATGTCTTTAATCAATAATTATTTGACAGTGTCGATTTTGCACTACGGAGTTTATTTGTGTGTAACGCGGTTTAGAGTAACTTCGCAAATTTCGTCGTCGATCCATATTGTCTTCCAAGCGACGAGGCGCATGAATAATTTCCAACAGGTCTCCCTGCCTCAATCGCGCACGTACATTGTGGACCGGGTTAGATGGCGTTCACAGGAAGTTCCCCCAAAGCGAACCGCGGTCAACAACAGTGCACAGATATTTCTTAAGCACGTGTTTGGGGTTGCTTCACGAAAGTTGTGTCATGAGTGATCTTGAAGTCGACGGGGTTGCATGCACCTGATTGGGTTTAAAAAATAACTCAAACTCGTTTAGGTGTGTATCCAGATTCGCATGGCACGTGAAGTGGGTGTGGTCAGTTGCAAAACTGCCACGCTGAACCCAAATATATGCACTTTTGGGCCTCTTGGGACTACTTCGCTTGGGGGAACTTGCCGTGAACGCCATCTTACTCTACATGCAAATGTGAGGGTGGTGCACAAGGCACTCAGAAAGGATACCCCTCCCTCCCCCCCCCGCGAAAAGGAAACGAGCAATAGGATAGGATGTTTATTCCGCGCCAAATTTCAGGCTTCGTTGAAGGTAACCAGGACCAGGGCCATCTCAACGGGAAGGTTGGGCTCAGCAGGGATGTTCATTGGCATTCGTGGTAACGGGCGAGACCTTTGTTCGACCAAAACAAGTCTCGCAGAGTTCGTGAGGCTCTGTCGGCGAAGGTGCAGAGCGTTCGGCTGGCAGGTTTCTGTGACAGAAAGCGAAATCTGTCACACTTGCACGTGCATACTGCCATGTCGCACGTGCTTGCCAGTCCCTTCCCAGGGCAGCTTTCCAGCCACCACAGAAGGGTTCTAAAAGAATCCCTGCAATTTGAATTGCTGGAAAAGAAAAACTATTCCACCCGGTAACGGGCATAGTTTTTAGGGTTGATGCCTGCCCGAGTCGCGTCCCTTTCCAAATTAGTTTTTGCACACGTATCCCTTGATGACAAGGATCCCCTTCGACGAACTTGTTATCGGGTGGCACCATCAGACAGCTGGCAAAGTATACCTCAGCGGACGAAAAACTCCGCCCAATTTCGCGGTTGCGATAGGACAAGGACCCCCCTCGGGATTGACGAACTCCCGATGACCTCCGAGTGGCAAGCTCGGGCGAACAGGCTGTGCTTAGGGCACGGGAGCCCTCGTGAATATCGACGAGCTGACAACCTAGGTTTCTGCTGAGAGAAACCCGAAAGGTAAATCTCAGCGCGTGACACCTTCCTAGCTCGACACGCCCGAGCCGCGATTATCGTCACGCGGCCTGATGGGGACGGCCGAGATCGTCCCCGAGATCGCAGGGGCATTTTGGGCTGCCACGACACCCACATCGTGGCCACGCGTCACTCCACGGTTCTAACTGCTTTGCGCGGGAACACGACGAGCCGACCACATTTGTCGGCGCGCTGTCCACGCGGCAAAAAACGATCCGTCAAGGCATTTACAGGTGTCTGGCATCGCGCGCAGTTCAGCAAGTCAGTGTCGACCTTAGATCCAACGGCGGTTAAGCGAGCCACGCGGCACAATCCGAACGTGCCTCAACACTGTCTAGGTAAAATGAATCTCACGAAACTCAGAAGCGTGTCGAGGGAATGTCGGCGCCGATCAAGAGGTGCTCATTGTGGGCTTGACACGCAGCTCTGCAATACGTCCGGGCCCTTATGCGCTGGAAGTCGGCATGCCGGCATTTGTGCAGAGAGGCACCAATGTTGGGCCCATGCCACGTAACGCACACCCATGCCACCGTAGAATGGCCCAGGCTTACGCTCAATGAGGGCAGAGCGGCGTGACATTAGCCATGCATGGCACGTGGCACGTCGGACACTGCGCCGCCGCACGAGGACACATGCATAGCGGCACCTGCAAAGGGGGTTGCGTGGAGCGCGGCAGATGCGGAGTCGCTCACGACCATACCCCTCCGTGACCATGCGCAGGTGCTCATTCTGCCATTCTGTCTGCGCTCCTTCCCTCGTATCACATGCGCTCTCTGTCACTTAGATTTTTCTCTCCCTTACAATCTTCATGAGTGTAGGTTACTCGGGCGCCGACCAGACGATCTCGTCGGCACAGTTTGTGTCGACCTGGCTGAGACGAAATAGGTCCGTGTTTAGGTCACCGATCGGTCAGACACCGCCGAATTCGCCGTAGTAGGGTTTAGGGCAGCATCTCAATAAGTCGGCATAGTAACAACAACTCTGCCGACCAACCAAGCCAGGACGATAGAACCTTCCTAAGTCGGCGTCGCAAGGCCAGAAGACGGCCTAGTGCGCAGCAGCCCCAACCCATCCCACCCCCTGCCGACACTGTAGACGCCGACATCAAATCGCAGCTTGAACGTGCAGAGATCGCCGCTGAGTTAGAAGCACTTGAGAGGGAATTCAAGCTTGACGCCCGCGCAATTCATCGGGCGTACACCGCCAACGTGACTCAGTACCGACTCTAGTGGTCCAACCTTTACCTCCCACAGGGATCACGTTAGAGCATAAGATTGAGAGTCACATGGCCGACGTCGACATGTTGGACGTTGCCCCCCTGTGGGCACGGGGGACGCGGGCCGATATGAAGACCAACCCGAGGCTTCCCACCGCCGTCCGACCACTATCCCTCCAGCGATGCTGAAGTTGCTCTACGAACTTGACGCACTGGCAAAAATACCAGACTCAAGGGAAATTTACCAAGGACATTCCTAAACCGCCTATCGGGGAGATTACAAAGCCGCGACGCAAGTCAGCTTCGACGCCGGATGGACAGCCTGGCCCTTCGTCAGTGCTGGGCGTGTCGGGAAACCAGGATGAGGAAATCGATGAGTCTCCGTCTAGCGACGACGAGGACGAACACGACGTCCAGCCTCCGCGTAGCACAAATCCGCGCACGCTTGAAGAACAAATTCGGGGGGGGGGGAAGAATACATAGACGACCTGTTGGACCAGGACGAGGAAGAGGACGAGTTAAACATGGCGGTGCCATGCTCACAGTGGAAAGCGGCAAACTTCATCGATGATGATATAGTCAGCTCGTGCGTCGGCGTACTCATGCTGGACGCACTACGCCACCTACTAACCGTGGAGGGAAGCAGCACCCTCCGACTGTACACCTCGTGGATCTACCACTACAAGAGGTGAGTGGCGAAGGTGCTCAAGGAAATTCATGACAAGCTTCCCAAGGAGCATAAATTGAGGCACGTCGACGAAATCGGCCGCTACATCCGTGAGGACAAGAGCAAGGATTTGGACAATGAGACCGTTGTCCCTCAGAAGTATATCTGGCTGCATGGCCCGCAGGTCACAGAAACACGGCTACGCGCCTACGTCAAGTTCGTGAGGCGTCAGTGCAACCTCGATGCCGAGTCGCCCGAACAGGAGAGCAATGCATCGGGTACTAAGCCAGTAACAACTACCACGGTGCACACGCTCCTCGACCGCATCAAGGCATGCCAGATGGCGGCGAGGGTGGAGGCGACGATCTACCAGGAGAAGGAGCTGAGCATCATGCGGGAAATCTCGGTGATCAGATCGGAGGTGCGGGTCATGGTCCGCACCAATGAAGAATAGCAGGGACATCAGGTACGCTGGTCGACACCGCCACTGTCAAACTTCATCGCTTTGACGTCGAAGATGCCGAATTAACATTTAATGTGGCTTCCTTGGCAGAAATTGCGCCGACCGGCGTTTCGACACCATCGGCGACACTTACACTGAGAACCGTACCTTCGTAGACGCTGAGGAGGTTCTCCTCATCAAGGTGCTGACCCTCCTCTCCCACCACACACTCCTGCGTGGTGCCAGCATCCGCGAGATCACGCTCCCCGACATCTTCTTGTACCGACTGGCGAGCACCTCGTCGGTGAACCTGAACAACCAGCCCGTCGTCATGGTGATTGCCACGCGGAACTC